TAAAAATTCTACAGGGTCTCACCCTAGGACCTTCTGTTTAATTCAGGTGAAATTTTATTATAGTCGGTATCTGTGTCAGCCTGTTATCAGTAAGAAAGAGAAGAAGTATTATTTAAGTCTCATGTGTCCATAGTGGTGTGTGGCATGAGTTAGGAAGCCAACCTCAGTTTCTCCACCCCTTTATGTGTTGATTAAATCTATAAGTGTCACAAGGAATTTTTTAAAAAAACACACTAGTTGGCTGATCTTATTCTCTTTCTACTATTATTTCTATTTTTACCTTTCATGTAAGAATTGTAGAGTCCCTAAAAACCTCACCTGAGGTGAATATTATTATCTTTTTGTGTGTATAAAAATTTAAAATACAATGTGTTTTTTTAACAATGGAGCAAGTTTGGATCATTTGACACCCTTTGTTGTTATAACATTATTAAAATCAGTGGGATATTTGTTCTTTTTATTTTTCTCTAAACTACAGTAGTTAATTTATGTGTAGGTATTCAATGTAAAATATTTCAGCCAAAAATACTCTTCTGTGGATCATATTTTTCTACCTTTTCACTGCAATTGCACTAACATACATTAATGGGAATCATGCTTTGTGTGCTATGAATTATATTTTCATTTTGATCTTTAGTATAATTTGTATAAGTTCATTTATCCTGATGAGTTTACTTAATACTTCCACATAGGAACATGTATTCCTTTCCTTATTCTGACTATTTCTTACTTTATGGGTAGTCTTGACATGGCTAGAATAATCTAACAATGATGACTATACTACATATAACTAATGTTACCATTTTTGTTCTTTGTCTACTTTTCAAAAGGGTTCATTCAGAATCATTCTATAAAAACATAGAGATTAGACCAGTTTTGTCCTTGTCATCATCTTTATTGTCAAAACTTTGTCATCACTATCAGAAAAAATGTGTAAGTATCTTTGTGCCCAGAAGAACCAAATGTGACTTCACAATTATTGGATTTACTGTGATCATTCTCATAGATGGCTTAAAGAATAGCCAGAAATTCTAGCCTTGTGCAGAAAACTGACACTGGACCCCTTCCTTATATCTTACACAAAAATTAACTCAAGATGGATTAAAGACTTAAATGTAAGACCTAAAACCATAAAAACCGTAGGCAGTACCATTTAGGACATAGTCATGGGCAGAGACTTCATGACTAAAACACCAAAAGCAATGGCAACAAAAGCCAAAATTGACAAATGGCATCTAATTAAACTAAAGAGCTTCTGCACAGTAAAAGAGACTACCATCAGAGTGAACAGGCAACCTATAGAAAGGGAGAAAATTTTTGCAATCTACCCATCTGCCAAAGGGCTAATATCCGGAATCTACAAGGAACTTAAACAAATTTACAAGAAAAAAAACAAACAATCCCATCTAAAAGTGGGTGAAGGATATGAACAGATTCTTCTCAGAAGACATTTATTCAGTCAACAAATGAAAAAAAGCTCAACATGACTGATCACTAGAGAAGTACAAATCAAAACCACAATGAAATATCATCTCACAACCAGTTAGAATGGCAATCATTAAAGTCAGGAAGCAACATATGCTGGAGACGATGTGGAGAAATAGAAACGCTTTTACACTGTTGGTGGGAATGTAAATGAGTTCAACCATGTGGAAGACAGTGTGGTGATTCCTGAAGGATCTAGAACCAGAATACCATTTCACCCAGCAATCCCATTACTGAGTATATATCCAAAGGGTTATAAGTCACTCTAATATAAAGACACATGCACACTTATGTTTATTGCAGCACTGTTCACATAACCAAGGACTTGGAACCAACCCAAATGCCCATCAATGATAGTCTGGATAAAGAAAATGTGGCACATATACACTGCATGGATTACTATGCAGCCATAAAAAAGGATGAGTTCATGTCCTTTTCAGGGACATGGATGAAGCTGGAAACCATCATTCTCAGCAAACTGACACGAGAACAGAAAACAAAACACCACATGTTCTCACTCATAAGTGGGAGTTGAACAATGAGAACACATGGACACAGGGAGGAGAACAACACATACTGGGGCCTGTCCACGGGTTGGGGGCTAGGGTAGAGATAGCAGGGGGTAGGGGGTTAGGCAAGGGATAGCATTAGGAGAAATACCTAATGTAGATGATGAGTTGATGGGTGCAGCAAACCACCATGACACATGTATACCTATGTAACAAACTTGCACGTTCTCACATGTATCCCAGAACTTAAAGTATAACAGCCAGAAATTTAGAAATACCTATCCCACAAATCATTTTTATAAATCATAATTAATTGCACCCAATGCCTTTATAATCTCTAATTCTTTGGACATGTACATGCCATCAAAATTAGAAGCATACTCAACAAATTGGTTCAGTGCTTGCTGCCTGGAGGTAAAACGCAATTGATGAAATTTAAAAACAGATACACAGATACATAGCTCATAGTCTACATATTATTGGCAGATGTGTTCTGTTAGGCCTACCCTGTTTTTGTTTTATGTATGAATCAACATCACAAAGAATATTTCACCAAAAAATCTGGATTCCTGGCTCCTGAAAAATCAGAATTCTTGTACCCTTGAGGTTTTCATTCCCACAAGGCATCCTGCAGCCGACTAGTGGTACATGCTCTCTCAGTTCTCTACAGTCCCCTTCCCTCGCTCAAGTACAACTATACAGTAACACGCTGAATAATGATATTTCAGTTAATGACAGACTGAATATATGACAGTGGTCCCACACAGTCATAATACTGGATTTTTATGGCGCCTTTCCTTTCTTCCCTTCCTTTCCCTTCCTTCCTTTCTCTCTCTCCTTCCTTCCTTCCTTCCTTCCTTCCTTCCTTCCTTCCCTCCTTCCCTCCTTCCTTCCTTCCTTCCTCACCTGATGTCAGATGTTTGAGACCAACCTGGCTAATGTGGTGAAACCCCATCTCTACTAAAATACAAAATTTAACCAGGTGTGGTGGCCGGTGCCTGTAATCCTAGCTACTAGGGAGGCTGAGGCATGAGAATTGCTTGAACCTAGGAGACAGAGGTTGCAGTGAGAAGAGATTGCACCACTGCACTCCAGACTCTCAGGCACAGAGCGTGACTCTATCTAAAAAAACAAACAAAAAAAGAGTTACACTGAAGTTGTGGGCAAGTTATCACACCTCCACGAATCCCATTTCACTATCTGTAAAACCTAGAAGACAGGACTCACATTTCAACTCATGGCTGTGGTCACGATTAAATGAAATAAAGTATGTGAAAGTAATGAATAAATGGAAAAACATTATTTTACTATAGGCAGTAATTAGTAGTCAGTGATAAAATATGAGCACATAAATGGATTAAAAATATTTACAAAGTCTAATATTTATATACAGTAAACATTTGAAGACCTGGAAGAGTAGTTTTTAGTTAAATAAGAGGCAGCTTTTTGGAGGAGAAAAACTTTGAGTTAGTCTTATTTCTGGTCTGAGAATGGGCCTATTTTGCTTATTAAACATGTTCTTTTATTATTTATGATGCATGTCTTCGTTGTGAGAGGAATTGGTTATTTCACGTTTCTAGATTATTTACTTAAGTATATTACATTATATGAAGCTGTATTTAGAAAGGCTGAAAAAAGTGACGTGATGATTTTGTGACTAATATCAGGAGCAAGAATTTTAGAGATGATACCGTACAGATCAGAAAACAGAAGAGCAGAGAAATTGAAAGACTTGTCCAAATTCTCAGAGCTATGAAGTTACAGGGCCAGAACTCAAAATTGGGTTCTGGATTCCACTGTTCTTTCTGCTGCACCACACTGGTACTGGGACAACTACTGGATGGAGATATTGAATCAACTCACTGTTTATACAATCGGATTGGGTTGGCAACTGTACTAACCTAGGAGGCGGAAAGGAGAAGTGTTAAGAAGGCCATTGCGAATTAGGAAGTGCGTTTTGGTGGTAATCTCAGCTACAGCATATGGAAAAAAAATCGATTATGTATTCTCTCCCCACAGTGGCACACTCTGGTAACCCCTTCCTACCCTACCCTTTAAGCCATTCTTTTAAGGCCTGCTACTCCTTTACGTTGTTAAACTTTCGCCTGCCCTTGCAGTCCTGGGACACCGGCAGGATTTCTTCTTCTCATCCCTTATCAGCACGCGAGAGGAGGACAGCTCCTCCTGAAAAATGTAAACTTTCCAAAGCGAACCCCCAATCAGAGCGAGAAAGAACGCGGCCACTGCAAGCAAGTTTCTGCTGAAGGCCAAGAAATCACACCTCCGGCTCCCAATTCCTCCAACACCTGAGAGCGTGAACTTAGTTTCCTCTTTTCCCACAGCTCCAAGGGAACTCTCCTGAGCCCTCACTATTAAGAGCTTCAGGGCCAGAACAAAGCCATTCTTGCAGGTGTCTGCCAATGGGCCGTCTCTGGAATTCCATTTCTCTCCTGTCCATCAGCCTCCTGTTTCCCTCTCCCCTCTTCCCTTCTCGGCTTGGGAGGGGCAGAGGGAACCGCGCGCCTCGGGGCTCGTAGCCCGCGTGGAATTCGGGCTTGCTCTCCCCGAGGCTGCTGCGGTGGAGGACGGCTCCGCGGCCAGGTCGCACGGGACCGCGCCGTCCTCCGGCAGGTGGCCGGAGTTCTGGTTGGCCTGTGAAGACGGGTGTCTTTCGCGGGCATAGCGCGTCCTGGCCTTTTGGGAGGGGGCTTGGAAGGCCCGGAGTCTGGCAGGCCGGACGCGGACTCCATCAGTGCCTGGCTTTCTCCTCCCCGGCCCCAGATGGCCGCGGTCTCCCCGCGCCCCCCAGCAGCTCCCCGCCGCCACCACCGTGATCTTTCCCAGTAGCGGCTGCTGGATGACGGCGCTGTAGCCGGTTGGATGGGGGCTGGCGGCTCAGACGGGACACCAGGGGTGGGGGCGTGGGGGAGGGAGAGTGTGGGGAAGGGGGAGGTCAGCGCTGGGCGGGAGCTCCGGGGACCCAGCGCTGCCCCCTCCAGCAGCAGGAGCAGCACAGCAGCTGCCGCCGCTGCAGCCGCCGCGTCCACAGCAGCGCGAGCGGGGGGCCCGCGGCGCGGCCGAGAGCAGAGGGGCGGCGGCGCCCGCCCCAGCCGAGCCGAGCCAAGCCGAGCGCTCAGCCCGGCCGCCGCAGCTGCCTCGCAGATGCCATCACAGCAACAAAGAGCTCGCTGAGCGGAGAGCGGCGGCGAGGGCTCGCCCGGGAGCAGCCGGAGGAAGCGCGTGGGGGGTCCGGGGGAGGGAAGGGGGCGGAAGATGGCCCAGAAGAGAAAGCCCCCCAGCATCAAGGGTGAGTCCCGCTCCCTCCTTCCCTCGCCGCCTCCCGTCTCTCGCCCGCCGCCTGCCCCTCGGGCCGGCCTGTTTACATCCAGGCGCTGCCAAGTGGAAGGCTCCTGCCCAGGAAGAGTTTGCCTTGTCGGGGGTGGGGCGGTGGGGGCAACTGCGGCGCTGCTGCACCTCCCCTGGCCCCCGGGGACACTCCGACAGGAGTTTGTGCCCCTTTGGCAACCTGGGGAAACCTGGAGACTCCTCTCTCACCCTACCCCTTTGCTACTCAGCGAGCTTGGGTATCTATCTGTTGCACCTCCTCGCCTCTGGGCAGTGAGGAGAGAAGCGATTCGGATCCTAGCCTCGCGTCCTTTCCGGAACATCTCTCTCTCTCTCTCTCTCTCTCTCTCTCTCTCTCTCTCTCTCTCTCTCTCTCTCTCTCTCTCGTGTGTCTGTGTGTGTGTGTGTGTGTGTGACAGAGAGAAAGAGAGTTTTTCATGGTCTCTTCTATTCTCTTCTTCCAATCCCCCCCTCCCTCCGCCCCTTCGTCCCTAGGGTGACAAGTTCTGCATCCATTTCCCCAACCTCCATCCTCAGGAGGAGATTGGAGCTGGCTGCCTCTCCTTTTCCCCACGATCAAGGGGACTTGTTACCGGCCGAGTCCCTGCAGGCGACTTCATGCTCCCCAACCACTCGGGCTAAGCCGTCTCCCTGTTGCTCCTTTGGAACCCAGGCTTCCAAAGTTGGAAAGTTCACGGGGAGAAGCGATGGTGGGGAGGACAAGGAAGAGCTTGTCCCTGGGGTGACTTGAGGCATTGCGGCGTGGTCCAGGGCGTGACTTGGGAGGGAGCCTCCTGGGCGGCGTCCTGCCCGGGGTCCGCAGGACTCGAAGAGCGCGCGCGGTGAGCAGGTGCAAGCCGCCCCCTCCCGCAGCGCCGACTAGCAGAGGTCGCGGCTCACAGGCTCCCTCCCTCTCGCTGGGGGACTCGCGGAGCCGGAGAGGTTGTCTGCAGCACTGCAGAGAAGTGGAAGTCAGCTGCACAGTGAGGAAGGCTGAGCACGGGGGAGCTGGACCTGATGGTGTTGGAGAGGAAGGGGCGTCGTTCGAAGTTGGATTTCAATACAATGGGTCCAATGACCCGGAAGGCAGCGACTTACAATGGCTTTGGGGTTATATAAAAAAGGACAGGAACTCAGATGAGACCTGAGGGGTGAAGGTTATCACTGAATACATTGGCCTGAACTACAGCAGCGCTCTAGGTTTGGGTGTGCTTCTTGCCTTTCCTTCCAAGTCTGGCTTGTGGGAGCTTAGCTCCACTCTAGAGGTCACGAGGGGGACACAACTTTATCTTGGAGCGTCAGCTTGCTTTTTAATTGCTCAGGAGTACTCAAAGCACTTATTGGAAAGCGTTTAAAATCATGATCTTTAATTCTTAAGAAGATATTATTGTGAAAATACCCGGAATTCTTTCGGTTGAAATGATAACCTATGCATGACAATTTTAGTGCAATGTCTTTTCTTAAAATATTATAGCTCCGGTAAAATTAGAGGAGCTTTAAGCCTCTGATTTTCCACCCAATGAATTAGTGCATGGGTATAGAGATACACGAGTAAGAAAGAAGAGAGAATATATTCACCTACAAACAGTTTCCTCTCTTTATCATAGTATCAAAGAATTAGTCTAAACCCAGATTGACAAGTCATATAAGCTACTCTTTTGGTTCGCTCCTTTTTTATGGAGCCATATGGCATGATGAGTGAAACAGAAGGATTGGTTTTCAGCACTGCTTATGTGGCTATCCATTGGCAGGAATACATTTCATTCCCTCCCCAAACCTTGCAGATTGTAAATGGTCCATGAAGAGTGGAAAAAAATTTTACAGTTTTACAGTACATGGTAGCTGGAGAAAATCTTACCCTTGAAATTAATAATCTTGGCAGAAACACAAAAAGATACAGAGGAGATCAGATTAATGAAACGAATTTGTATAAGAGATTTGACGAAAAAGACACCTCCCCTTTACTTCCCCCTCTCCTCAAAACACCAAAAAGTTTTCATTTTGTAGGCCAGTATGGAATTGTTTGTATTTTCTTGAATAAGTTTAATTTGATAGTGAAATGATTGAAAAATAGCAGTTAATGTTAAGTGTTAACAGTTTCTCTGGAAGGATTAATAATCAAGCTTTCCTAGGACATATAGTCTCAAGAAATTTTATGTAGTACTTTAAAAATAAGCTTTTCTCCTGCTACATATTTTTCTTAAAGGAAAAGTTATGTTATTTAGTTCCTATCAACTTGTGTTGAGCTGTTTTTGTTTTTTTTAAAACAAGTTCATTTAGTATTTCACAGAAAGAAAGGCACCTTTAAAAACAAATCCTTGGAGTTTCACTTTAGTGAAGCACGATGAATTGTGATACTTGATAGATGACAGAAGCAAACCCAGAAAGTTGTAATCTATTGACTTGCCTCAATTTTGTCTTTTAAGGGGAGAGCTCTACAAAAGCATCTGACCGCAGGTTTGCTGAACTGCTCTCAGATGTCTGCTTCTAAGCTACAACCAACTAAACTGGGACTGCCTGGTAGAAAAAATTTCCAGGCTTTATTGGCAGGTGCAGGCTACTGGGGTGAACTTTGCTGGATAAAACACTATAGGTCTAGCAATATTCCATGCTGTGTTGGTTATTCTCTTACAAGAGCTGCTTCTCTCCTTAGCTACACTGCATGCAGGGAGAGATCATTGGTCGGATCTCATGACAGGCAAGTTGCTTATTGGCTTCTGAAGTCCTGGCAAGAAAGACTACATATCCATAAAACTAGAAATTGGCCAAAGAGAAATGCAGTTTCTTAACATTGACAGAAGAGTAAGATCTGTTGGCAGGATTCCTCAAGGGACATTAGCGTTCATTTGTGACATCTCATCAAAAGGACAGTTTTTCAGAAAGGCAAATGGAATCTTTGACAATCCAATATTGATAATATTTTTAATGAAAAAATGCTGTAGTTCATGATTAATAAAAGTCTTATAAATAAGCTGGTTACATTGGGTATAGTGATATTACCACCCCTGCCCCTGGCTTTTCCAATATTAGTACAACAAAGACTTCTTACACAATTACTTAAGTATAAAGGTTGTGTTTGGATTAATCTATTCGTTTAGCACATATTTATTGAGCACTGAATGTTTACCAGGTTATGTGTAAAACACTAGGGATACAGTGATGAACGTGATAGACAATGAAATAGGAGGAGGCCTGGAAGAGGCAAGGTGGCAAATACATGAACCACAAAATTTCGCATAATAATTCATAGCAGGAAGAAATAAAACAAGGTGATGTGCTAGCAAGTGATTTTGAGGTTACTTTGGATTGTCTGGAAAGGTGACATTTGTGTTAGGAAACAAGTGATGAAGAGTAATTTGCATGCCAAGAACTGGAACGTAGCACTGCAGGCCTTAGGTAGAAATGAGGCATGTTCACACACAAAAGGAAATGGTGTAATATATAAGGAAGAGACAGGTAGGGAGAAGCCAGGCCCTTTTGGTCATAAAAAGGAGTATAGAGTTCAAGTGCAATGGGAAGCCATTGGATCTTCAGTTGCTATTTGGGGTTACATTCCTATCCTGGAAGATTATTTCAGGGAGAAGAGCGTCTCTACGTCAATTGCCTAGGTCAACTAAGGTGACCCAATAGACTTCACTTTTCTAAAAGATCCAGTTGTACTCATGTTATTTTCTCTTGCTATTTACCAGAATACCTATGCAATTTCAGGCTGAGATGTTGATAGCATCTCTAGGAATCCCTGCTTAGAAAACAATTCTAGAGAGAATGAGGATTACTTTAACATTTAGTACAAGATGATAAGATTAGTTGCTTCCCTGGCAGGTCTTTCAATGCAAGTAAGTCTTAGGAAAAACATATTGTAGTGGTAGAGGGGGGATTCTGAGGGGTCCAGAACATGACTGTGCAGTAGGCGGAATGTGGAAGGCAGCATGAGGGGCTCCTAGGTAACAGAAAGGGGTCCATGGAAAGAGGAGAAGAGTGATGTTGGGAAGGGGACGTGAGAAAGCCTCTAAAACAGCATCAGCCAATTCATAATTTTGCCAAGTGGAAGCCTGATATGAGAGTATTCCAGGAGAAACATTCTCATTCAAACACAGAAAAAGTTTAAATCAGGGTAGCTTTACTCTTTTGGTTGATCTTTTAATACTGAAGCATTTGTAACAATATAAGCATACAGATGTTTACAAAGTCTCTTTGATTTTACTTAACCATTATTAGGTTGTTCTTATGGATTACAGACCTCACAAATGAAAATAGCATGAAAATATTAATGATAACTGCTGTTTGTTAGAGGTAGCTGCTTGATCTAGTTGAGGAAATTATGCTCTTGTGTCTCATTTTGCTGTAGAGATGTTGGCAAGAGGGATAGGGGATGTATTGGATGATTTTATTTCCCCTGAGCATTTGTGATGAGAAAGTGCCATGATATTCAGGGAAGACACAAATAATAATAGATTATTTTAAGGATAACCATGGCCTACTTCCTCTAAACTTTCTACTTCTTTGCCAAGGATTAAAAATCAAAAATATACTAAGGATTTCTGTAGCTCCAGGACTTTGTTCAGTCTCCTTGCCCTCTTTATACTCCAAGTGACTCCTTTGAGGCTAGCAAGGCTGGTAGGACCTCAGGAATTATCTAAGAATGGAGTATGGCCCTTAGCGATACTGTAACACAATGTGTTTATGACATCAGCTTTTTTTCCCACAGTAGTGAATCATAGCATGTTAGAGTTAGAAGGCTCAGTGTTGATGGAGTTACTGAAGGAATGATAAAGTAAGAGGTGAGTGATACTCCCAAATGCAAGTAGTCTATGTCTATAGGAAATTTGGTCAAGCTTATTATTCATGAATACATATTCTATATAACTTAAGAAATATACACACACACATATAGTGAAGTCTGAATATAAATTAGGAACTGAGCTCTTCCTCTCTCTGTATGTGTGTATATACTCACATACA